GGTAATGGAACTGCTTGGGTATTAGGTGACACAAGGCTGGCTGGGCAGTCACTTCCCAGCCACAACCCTGCATACACTATTAAAGGAGAGCACACGGTTCTGGTGCAAAACTAGCCCATGCAGAGGTCTTTCTCTCACTTTGTTCTGGATTCTCAATCAATTTCAGCTGCCCAAGAGACCAGTTGCCACAGTCTCACCTGCCATGGTGCTCAAGGCAGGATCAGCTCTGTAAGCTGCCTTTTAGGTAAAGGTAAAAATGTTTATCACGACCACTACCTTTGCCCGTCTGTACACAATAAGAAAAGAAATCACAGTATTTGCTCATAAAGAGCTTAGAAAATTTAACAATAACTTTAAACTTACATAAGAAATTTAGGAAAACAAACATTATAAAACATGTTTCTAAATGATTTACCAAAAAAAAAGTATTTATTTATTTATTTACCAAAAAGTATTTTGTTTTTTTGCAAAGGATTCAATCATAACAGAGTGCTGATGGTATAAAGGCTTAGCACAGTAAATGTAAAGGGGTTAGAAACAGAAGAAATGATCATGACATGTTCATCATGGGGGAGGATTCTCAGCCTTATCCTTGCAGAGTAAATGGATCTGAATGAGTGATGAGGAGAGGAGAGAGGGACAGCCACTCCCCGTCATGTCAACGATAACCGAGCCCTGTGGGTTGCCATTCYTCAGTGGGGGCAATATGAAACAGGAAGAGAATTTTCCTTCAAGGGGCATCTATTTTGGTAATTGTAAAAATAAAAGGTTTTTAAGTGACTCTGCCAGTATTTTCTCTGTATGGTTATGGTCATTGGCGATCAGTATCAGGAATCAGCAAGTTGAGCCCTACAAGCCAAATCTAACCTGCCACCTGTTTAGGTACAGATCCCAAACTAAAAATGTTTTTATGTCTTTAGCTGGTTACGGAACAGAGACTGAATGTGGCCCACAAACTTAAAATATTAACCATCAGGATCTTGACAGAAAAAGTTGACAGATTCTTGGTCTMTATGATCAAAAAAATCATACAGTTTCTGCAATAATCTCTTTATGATTTTGAGTGGCCTAAAGGGGAATTTTGTAAATTTTATTTGGAGTGCAGTATTTTTCAATGTAAATATTATTCTGGAAGATATTTTTATAATAATATAAAGGTATATGCACAATCTTTTTTTCCCCATTCTTATTTGAGTTTAATAGTAAAGTTGGTTATGCTTACATTGCACCAGCTATGGAGCAAAAAACAACATGTAGAAAATTATTTTTTCTTTTCATTGTTCTGAATGTACACTTTCTTTCCCTGTGAAAAAATCTATCTAACAGTGAAAGTACTACAAAAGTTATTTTAATAGACATATTTAGGTAAAATTTATGGAAATAAAATTAATATTGTTCATTATCCTTTTCTTAGAAAAGGATACATCTTTGTTTACAGTGTGCTTTTATTAATATATGCAAAGAAAAATATAAATCAAAGTGATTTTAAATTATATACTAGAATTTATAACCAAACTAATTTTCAAAATGTTACTCAGATTAACTTTAAAATACCTTTACTTCATAATTATGCTGCTTGTGAAATATTGCCTCAATTGTTATAATAACTGTTAAAATTTACTAAATTTACTAAACAGTTCATTAAATTGTTATGAAATATGTGAAGCTATTTGTGCTTTGTGTACAAATTTTAAAACTCATATGCAACTTTATTATGATATCTAAAATGTTCTTTCTAAGGAAACAAACTTTGCCTCAAAAAAGTCTATAAGCATTTTGATGATAGTTACTAAGTGAAATAATTCAAATGAGAACTATTCAGTTTTTCCCTATATTTTGGCATCAACTAGAATAGAGATCATTCCTGAGATCCATCAACAGAAAGTACCATAAAGGATTTATATACATATTTTTTTCTTATTCAAAATATGCTAGCTCACATATTTTGATAGGCTGTAATATGTTCTTCCCTGATTTTAAAGTTCTTTCCACTGTCTCTCTTCACATTAGCATGAACTTGAGAACTATTTAGAGAGATACTGTTTACTCTTTATGTTTATTGGTTCTTTTCAAGGTAGCTCATCATTTWTTGTGCTAGTTGTGTTTTATGGGGGTTTAACTAGCATTTGGTGAATTCCCGAATCTTGA